CGTGGGGCCTGAACTCTGGGCCTGGGCACTGTCCCTCAGCTCTTCAGCTCAAGGCTAGAGCGCTACCACTTGAGCCACAGCGCCACTTCCAGCTTTTTCTTCTTATGTGGTGCTGAGGAATCGAACCCAGGGCCTCATGCATGCAAGGCAAGCACTCTACCACTGAGCTACCTTCCCAGCCCAGGAGTTTGGGTTTTTTTTGGTGCTGGAGATGGAACTGAAGGCCTTAGTATATACTACGCAAGCTCTAGTACAAAGTAACACCTCCAACCCATACAGGAACTTAGGAAGTAACAAAAGCCATGAGAAGCTCTGGGTGCCCATCTTGGCCTGAGCTAGATGTTCAGGCAGCACCCAACAATGGCTTTCAGCTGAGAGGAACAGCCTGGAATGCGAAAGGCCATGGCAGATGGGTAGATCATAGAGCTATAAGAGTTGGCTATATGACCTTCAAGTCCTATAAGGCACAGACTTACATTGCATCGTCATGCAATAAGAACCAGGGAGGCAAGTCCCAGGGGAGCTGTGGGGACATCAGGGAAGGTAGAAAGGGACCACTCTTAAGGGGCTAGTGTCAGCCTTGCTGGTAGAGAATAGGAATTGGTCACAGCATCTGGGTCTGATGTCTGCCTGCAGGGCAAGCTGGCACCCCTGACTATCTGGGTGTTCTCTCTTCACAGGCTGAACCTTGCTCTCATCTTCCTAGAGAAGCAGGTATATCCCAAACCCACTTACCAGTGACCAGCTCCCGAACCTCATTGTCACGGGCAGCCCGCAGCAGGCGTACCAGGGCAGGCACACCTCCGCAGTCCCGGATGGCAGCCTTGTTATCTGTGTCACGGCCATAGGAGAGGTTGCGCAGTGCCCCACAGGCTCGGCGCCGCACCTCAGCCCGAGGGTGGTCCAACAGTGCCACAAGCAGTGGCAGCCCACGCAGCTGCCGAACACGCCGCTTAATGCTCTCATTCTCAAAGCATAAGTGCTGCAGGTAGGCGGCCGCATTGGCCTTCACTGGGTCCACAGGGTGTCGCAGCATGGCCAACACCTCAGGCAACTCAGGATCCCGCCAGCGTGGCTCCTTGCGGGCACTGTCCACTGAAGGTGAGCGTCGTACCACTCGGTCCAGGCTGCCCAAGCTGCCTCGCTCAGGCTGGGCCAGTGGTGCTGTTGCTGCTGGGAATGGGGGCCGCTCATCTGTCAGCTCACCTGCATCATCAGCCACATCCTCATAAGCCCTATGCAAGTAGAAGGGTGGGTGAGCAGCAGTCCTGTGCTGCCCACCACCCTGGAAATGTAAAGCTCACCAAGCAGGAGCAAGCTGGGCTGGGAGCCTCAGCTCCAAGCATAAAGTAGGTTCTGAGTTATGTACCAGCCCAGCGAGAACTGTCTTAGAGTCAAAGCAGAGCCAAACTTCAGCCAGAGGCCAGCATCCCTCCCAGTATGGGGAGTTTCTCCTATCCTGAACAAGCATGTCTCCATGCAGCATCTGTCAGTGATGTCCTACTTCTCTTCCATAAGATCATGTGGTTGGTACTAGGATGTGTGAGAAGTGGATGGCCCTCACCCTCCAAGAGACATTTAGGGCATAAGATATCCTTAGCCGTGGCAGTAACTGCTCTTGAATCTACTTCCCTAAGAAAGACTAAGACTAGGAAGAAGGGTTAAATGACTTGCCCAATAAGATCTGGACCCAAGCTGTGGTAATAGTCACACTCTGCAGGCATAGATAATGAGGGCATATGGGACAGAACGAGGGGCTCTGACAGGAAGGTTCTCTAAGCCTCTAGGTTCTGGCTACTATTGGACAAAGTGGAAATTGAGGCACAGGGAAGCCTCCAATTGGAGGCTTCATGCACAGAGTAATACCCTGAGCCTCTGCTATTCAGGATGATTTCAATAGCCCTCTGGCTACAGAAGCCAGTTATCAGGCACTGTTTTCTTTTCCTTCTATCAGCATAATTTCTACCTAGGGCCTGCCTTTGCTGTTGTCCTTTAGAAGAGACAAGGCTAATTCAAACTAAGGTGTGTATGACCAACTCAGCTTCAGCAGCTGACTACCTGTGGGTATTCTGTGGCTGAAGAGCTGAAGATAAAATCCCACAGGAAACGTGGTGGTTACCTGGCACGAAGGCTCCGTCCACACTCAGGTCTTCTTCGTGCGGCTGTACCATAGTCAGGCTCCAGATCAGGGCCCCCCTCATCATCAGCAGCCAGACTTCGTGTGTCATCCTCCAGGCCATAGGGCTCTGCCTGGAAACGCTCGGGGAGGGAGCGGCCACTTGGAGGACCAGGCTCAGTACCCACAGGGAAGGCTTCCCGGCGACCAGGCAGTGTGAAACAGCCATCACCAGATCCTGGGCCAAGGGGTCCAGTGCGGGGGGGCCGCACCCCTAGCCCTCTGGACAGGCTGCCATAGTTGGGACCATCACGGGGCTCTAGGCCATCAGCAAAGCCACTCCCACTGCTGAGGTAAGCTCGGGAAAGTGTGGCTGCTGGACCACCGCCACGTAGCAGGAAATGCCGGTCCAAGGGGCCATCAGCAAAGGGGCCAAGTGGAGGGCCGCCATCCAGTAAGGGGAGTCCATCTGGGCCCAAAGGCACCTGGCGTACTGTCCTCGTGGTCACTGTCTTGACTGTCTTGGTGACCTGAGAGATAAGTGGGTGATGGGTGCCTTTGGCATCCCAAGACTTGGGCAGTACTTTGGCACAGCTAGGGTGGCTTTCATTTTCAACCCAAACTTTGGGTGTCCCCAGGAAGCCAGTTCAAACACCCAGACTTGGCCATACCTTGGTCTCAGTGCGCCGAGTTGTGCCGTCTTCAGATGTAACAATGGACACATGGGAAGTAGGTGTGCCAGGGTCCTCTTCTACTGTCACTGTCTCCTCTAGCACTTCAGGTGCCTCTGGCATTGTGGCCAGTGATGCCTGGCTGCCCGGACTCTGTTCCTGGGAAGAGAAGGATAGTTATTAGGAGGCAGGAAGCAAGCGGTTCCTGGCTCTCTATCCCAGGACCTCCTCAGAACTGCAGAGGCAGACAAGCATGGGGGCAGGGCTCCCTAAGTCTCCAGGCTCCTCCAGGCCTAAGTAGGAACAGGTGGGACCTGCAGGATGTCCTTCTGGCATTACCTGCCATCCCTGGCTGGGCCCTCAAATTGTCTTGGGGCCTACCCACTCGAGAAGCCTTAAATGTACACACCGTGGGGTGGCAGTTTCAGCATAGTTCACTGACTCCCATGGCCACGCCCAAGCTCTTGCCACAAGACCAGCCAGACACCCCCACAGGACAAAAATACCCAGCTCCCAAAATGCACTGTGCATCCAGAACACTAAAATATCCTTGTTCCTTCCAGCCCAGACTCTTTTCTTTTGGTTGGTCATAGGGCTTGAACTCAGGGCCTGGGCACTGTCTCTGAGCTCTTTTTGCTCAAAGCTAGCACTCTATCACTTTGAGCCATAGATTCATATGCAGTTTTTGGGTGGTTAATTGGAGATAAGAGTCTCAATAGACTTTCCTGCCTGGGCTGGCTTTGAACTGCAATCCTCAGATCTCAGGCTCCTGAGAAGCTAGGATTACAGGAATGAGCCACCAGTGTCCACCTAGAAGATTTTTTTTGGTTGAACTCAGGGCCTTTGTATTGTCCTAGAGCTCTTTTGTTCAAGGCTCGCACTCTACCACTTTAAGCCACAGTGCCACTTCAGCCCAGAACTCTTGGAGTACACAGTAACACTCAGGTGCCTTTGAGCCCAGCCTAGCTTTACCTCTGGCCAATTTCCTCAGCTGATAAAGAGCTTGGACATCACAATAGAGACTAAAGAGAATGCAGTTACACCTGCAGCCTCTTTGCTGTCATGCAGCATGGGAGATTTAGGTGGTGGAATATTAGGTAATATAGTTCTAGACTGAGACCCTTCTGAGGCCCACATGCTTATCAGCTGGACTTGCCAGTAGGTAAACAGGCTCAAAAAAGAGAGGCCAGTCCCTGCTGTGCTGTCTAGCACGAGGACCCCTGAGATCCATGTTCCGCCCTTGGGGCTGTGCCCACACAGTTCTCCAGTTCCAGGGCCCCACCACATCAACATCCTGGGATCGGCATGTGGCCTGGGCATGGCCTGAAACTCAAGCTGTGGTAGGCGGCACATTCCCCAGCAGCCAGAACCGGGTCAGCAGGAGGACATACCCCACACGCTATAGTCCAGGCAGGATGGTCCCCTGCCTAGGCCCCCTGAAGCCTGCAAACACCAAGTAGAGGCCTAGGGCAGGCCTGCATTCACACTGGACCCATCTGGCTCCATCACTATGTGGTGTCCTTCCTTCCCTCAGTGCAAGAAAAATGCCAGTGCTGTCCTCATGGCTTGTCTGTTCCAACAGTGTCCTTAGGTCGATGTCCTGTTCTGGGGAAAGGCTTGGCCCCTAATATATACAGTGCAGGAGTCTGAGGAAGCTATGCTAGCATGCTGAGTGCTTCCCTCAAGCTCTGGTGACAAAAGACAGCAAAGGGATAGAAGGCACTTACCTCTCCCCCAGGAGCAGGGCTTGAGAGGGCTAGAGATCATGTGACCATAGATGAGAAAACTGAGGCCTGGCAGAGGGGAGATTGACCCAGAACTTCATAACTGGTATCAGGAATTCAACACTGACTAGGAAGCCTTTGAGCCTTGCCTCACCCTTGAGGGGAGGGCCTTGGCAGCCACCTTCTTATCCTCAGGACGGAGCAGAATGCCTGCTGGGACCTGGCCAGAATAAGGCGACCCTGTTCCCTGGGAAAAGAAATAGACTGAGGCCCACTGTAGGGACAACTGGCTGGCTGTCAAGCAGAGTAGCCTGGGCTCTTTTCCAAGGTCACTAGGGAGTATGGATGACTCTGGAGGAGTAGGCATAGGGGCATCCCTCTGTACTGGAGCTTGAGATATCCCATCCGTTTTTGGTGATGGTATCTCAGGCCCTGAACCCTCTGATAGTCAGACCTCCAGCATTCTGGGCTAGGCACCAAAGGGCTGGCCTGGCAGTAGGGGGAAAAGCAAAACTGAAGAACATGTTGCCCAGAATATTCTGTCAGTAGGACAGGCTTCTTAGTAGATTTGCATATATTTGCATATATTAAATACTCAGAAGCACCTACTATAGCTGAGCTAGGTGGCAGGGTTTGCCCTGCCATTGAACTGAACGATGGACACTTTGGCCCCTTACTGCTATTCAGGCACCCAGCTTTCTCCTCCTGCCCAGCACCGGTGAATATTTGACACAGTTCAGAGTTGGAATGGTCTGGAGAATCAGGACTCCCAGAAAGGCCTCCAACCTAACACACGGTTTCTACAGATAGGCTGTGAGATCCTGAGGCCTCAGGAGTCCCTGCTGGCAAATGACCTCAGGGAGCTAAAATCAGGCAATGACTTCACCCAGGTGGGTGGGAGCATGAGTCAGCCAGTGCTCACAGAAAGTGCCTAGCCCCATTACACATGCCTGGGCACACATACACGGATAGGGATTTGTACACACAAAGACATGTACCCAATTCTTCAGACAGGAATGTGCACATGTCCACAGTATATGAACACCCAGCTTTGCAATTGGTCCTGAGCACATCAATTAGTGAGGATTCCTAACAGTACCCCAAACTCAGTCCCTGTGTCCAATGTTCCCAGAGGCATGTGTCTGAGTACTTGTACCTTCATTTCTTGCACTACTTGTCCAGACTCTTATCCACAAAGGATGTGTTTTCAACATACAGGGATAGAGACAGTGGCTCCCAAGCCACCCACCCAACATCCACTAAGAGATCACAGAGATGGTAGGAGAGATAGGGAAACTGAGGCCTATGGTATGGTAGTAAGAGTCTCAAAGCCCATCCTGTGGCCCAGGCCTCTGTAACATCTTCAGGGTTAGTCTGTGGGACAGCGCACTGATGACCAGCATACAGCTGACACTCAACAGAGAAGCTCTGGTGGGTGCCTAACTTAATCTGGCCCCAGTGCTATCTTATGGGGCTCCAGGTCTCACATCTACCTGTCCAGGCCAGCCCATGCTCAGGAAATTCTGGCCCTGCAGCTCCACACTGTCTCTACTTTACCCCTGACTTGGGGCATAACCTCTGTACTCCAGTTCCCCCTCCCTCAATACACTATGTCCTGCCAACCATCTATTGTTATCTTCCTCTCTAACTCTAGCATGATCCTTTCTCCTCTTACAAGGACCATACCTAGTCAACAGTCATCACCTGTGAAACAAAAATTAAAATCCATCCCAGAACACTCCCATGTGTAGAAAAACAGGTCCATGGCTTTTGGGCTTAGCCCTAAGAAGAATAGCAAGTGCTCCATGGGCTTATGGGAGGGGCCAGTAAAGCATTCCCACTAGCCCACTGCTGCTTTCTAGATGTTTACCACAGGCCTAGCACTGAGCATAACATGAGATTCCTAAGCTCCATACACAGGGGCTTCCTCACACAGAGGAAGGAGGGTTACATGGTGCTAGTCCATTCATGTGGACAGATAAGGATGGGGAGGGGGTGATGGAAAGCAAAATGTGAAATGATGTACTTCATAATTGAACAACCAGTCAGGTGCTGGTGGCTCATACCAATGATCCTATAGACTTAGGGGGCTAAGATCTGAGGATCCCAGTTCAAAGCTAGTAATAAAGGGCAAGAAAGTCTGTGAGACCCCTACCAGAAAACTGGAAGTGGAGCTGTGGCTCACTGTGGTAGAGCCTTGCACACAGAAGCTCAGGGACAGCACTCAGGTCCTGAGTTCAAGCTCTATGACCGACCAACCAAAAAAAAAAAAAAAAAGAGTAATCACAGTCTGTATCATAAAGAACAGAAAAACAGAAGTGGCTATCCCATCCTGTGCAAGGCCCTGCTTGTGCAGGGAAGGCACATGTTAAGGTGAAATGTGTGTTTAGAGACCACAGTTTCTGGACTAGGGCTCCAGAAACAGCTACCACTGGACAGAATGTACGAGTCAATTCTGAATCTCTTTAGCAGAGTGCAAAGCAAACAGACAGCATATCCTACATCAGGCCTTGGTCATCAAAAACAAACAAAAACAAAAATACCACCTCCCCTGGTACAGCTTCTACCCAGCTCCTGAAGCCCACAGCAGCAGAATGCTGGGGTGTGGTCACAGGCAAAGTGGGCTGAAAGGCCCAAAGGCATCTGTTGCCTAGCAGGCTAGAGAGCAAGCTTGGGAGAGCTCCTATCCCAGCTTCTCTAAGCCCAGCTATTAGCTACACTGACCCCCTCCATCTCTGGGCAGTCAGTGGCCAAAACTGTGGTCACATCAGTGTGGTGTAATAGGCAGAGACCAAGTAGGCAGGTGTGTGGGAGCTCTTCCTCTCTCATTATCATGGGACTTTTGGTAGTTGGTGGTATACTCAACCTGTTTCCCCTGTACTGAACCCCACCCCACTATGCAGTCTACAGGCTGCCCACCTGCCTTCTCCTTCAGACCAATGCCAGGAAATAGACAACTAGGAATTGCTCCAGGCCCCTCCTGCCTCACACATGGGCAGGATTGGTTCACCCCTCCTGTCAGGTGCACTCGCCAACAGAAAGGGCTTCCATTAAGCTCCAGAAGTTCCTTTGCAAAGGAAAAGCAAGAAAGTCCCCAGGGATCAGGAGGCCTAAGAGGACTTCCCTCTCCAGTCTCAGCCTCCCTCTGCACAGAAAGGAGGCTGCTTGGGAAGGCTCCGTCTCCACACTCCAGTCTGTCTCCACCTGTCTTGGGTGTAGCTCAGGTGCACCCACTCCGGTTCTGGCACGTTCTGAGTACAGGGTCGCCCACCCTGCTCCCGTGCCTGGGCTCCAGAGACCTCCGCGGGCCCCGCCCCGCCCCGCGCTCGCCTGGGCAGCCTGTGCACTCGCGCCACCGCGGCAGGTCCTGTGCAACCCGGCAGGGAGCGTAGACAATAGCTGCTTGGGGCCAGCGGCTCAGCGGAACAAAAGCTGGTCTTCTTGGGAAGGCCAGAGCCCCCGCCCTCTGCCGCTGGGCCCAGTACGGTGCTCCCGCCCCCTGCCTGGAACCAAGTTCCCTCCAACCTGTCTGAGTTCGGCTGGCATTGGACCGGGACTAGGAGGATGCAGGCTGGCAGAGACGACAGCGATGGACCCGGCTCTGCTCGGGCGCCTCAGCAGCCCCGGCTCCGCGGACTCACTCCCCGCGGGGGGTGGATCTGGGGGCAGTCTCGGCGAGCAGCCAATCGGGAGGAGCCGCGCCCAGGCGGGGCGGGGCTTGGATGCTGGGGCAGGGCATTGCTCCGCCCAACCTACCAGCAAGGGAGGGAGGGGCTCTGCAGCCAGGCCAGCCGGGTGGCCCCCTAGTCCCTGGTAGCTGGTCTGGGCTCCAGGCCCTTGCCCCAGGGGATAACATTTTCCCTGCCAAGAGACTTCATCTAAGTCATCTTTCCCAGACTTGTTTGCCCCTAATAAATAAGCATACACACACCTCCCACCTGTACAGTTATGGAAGCTGAGTTCCCCCACAGGCCAGGGTCATTTCCAGAACAGGGCACAAGGCCACCTTAGCTGGCATAAGCTTCTCAGGCTGTTAGTTTATCCTTACTGTGTGATGAGGTCCAATTACAGCAGTCACATCATTGCCGACTGGATCTGTTGTTGTTGTTGTTAGTCGTGGTGCTTGAACTCAGGGCCTGGGTGCTGTCTCTGAGCTCTTTGCTCAAGGCTCGGCTCTATCACTTGCAGCCACAGCACTACTTCCGGTTTTCTGGTGGCTAATTAGAGATGGGTCTCACGGACTTTTCCTACCCAGGCTGGCTTCAAACCGTGATCCTCAGATCTCAGCCTCCTGAGTAGCTAGGATTACAGGTATGAGTCACCAGTGCCCCACTACAGGATTTCTTTTACCTAGGATGGGGCTGCAAGGAAGAGTTCAGAACCCCATGTGGATCTGGTGAGTGGCCTGCAGGGGAGTATGATTATGTCCTGGACATTTTCCCCATCAGGATACAGAGGACTGCCAGGTGCCTATAATCCTAGCTACTCAAGAGGATAAGACCCAAGGATCATGGTTCAAAGCCAGCCTGGGCAAAAAAGCATATGAGACTCTTCTCTCCAATTAACTGGCAAAAAGCCAGAAGTGTAGCTAAGCAAATAAGCTAAAGGACAGCACCCAGGTCCTGAGTTCAAGCCCCATTACCTACTGGAACAAGAACAAAAGAGTACCAAGAAATGGGTATATGAAAGGTGAGAGTGGGGCCACAGGGAGAGGGGTAAGCAAATGAAGGAAGGAAGAGGGGGAGAATGCAGTCAAGAATTCACTATATATTTCACACAATTAAGAAAATAAGAGAAGTGGGTTGAAGGAGGGTGAGAATGTTGAAGGGGGTGAGACTGATTAAGATGCATTGTATTCATAAACTGCTTTGTTAAATGGGACAACCTTTGTACAACTACTTAAAGATAATTTAAAAAAATTTTTTTAAGATACAAAGGACCAAACTCTCCCTGCCCCAAGAGTAGACCAGTGAGGAAGAGGGATAACTCTTGAGTGACCGTAGGTGGCACAATCTCTCTGGTGAGACTTCAGCTAAAAGTCTTATACGCAGAGCTGGCTTCAGATCTCTCTCTGCTATGCCTTTGAGCTGCTGGAAAGTGGTGTCTGGGGTGGAGCTGAGTTGCTGATCCGTGCTTCTCTTACCAAGTTGTGCCTCCTCTATCCCTAACCTCCCAGCAGCCACCCCTGAGGATCTGGTTCTGCTGGGAAAAAAACTAGAGAGGAGGGCAGTAGCTGGCTCGTCCAGTCATACCTCACCAAAGAAAATCCCTTCATGAAGAATGAGGAAAATGTAGCCAGACACCAGTGGCTCATTCCTATAATCCTAGTTTCTCAAGAGGATGAGATTTGAGGAGCGCAGTTCAAAGCCAGACAGGCAGGAAAGCGGGACTCTTATCTTCAACAAACTTCTTAGAAAAAGCCAGCAGTGGTACTGTGGCTCAAGTGAGGTAGAGCACCTTCCTTGAGTGCAAACAGGTTCAGGGACAGTGTGCAGGTCCTGAGTTCAAGCCCCAGGACAGGCAAAAAAAAAAAAAAAAGTTCTGGGATGAGCAGAGTGAAGCCAGCCCAGTGAAACTCCACAGACATAGCAAGAAAAGGGGCAACAGGCTTGGCCTCCTTCTTCCTTCTGGCCTGCTTCTCCCCTACCCCCCACTCTGAAAGACAAATCTTCCAAGGCTACACCCTGTCCCCCCAGTGTGCTGCTGCATACAGGGTATATATACTGCCAGTATATTCAAGCACTCTAGATGCCAACTATGTGCTCCTCCTAGTCTATTCCCTCATCTGGAGAGGAATGAGTGATTTTTGTTTGTTTGCTTGTTGTTTTTTACCTCAAACCCCCTTGCATTCTCCATTCATGACTGCCCAGGCCAGTGAGTAGGACACAGTTGCCTGGATCTTAATGCTGGTTCTTTCTTCTCCCCAATTCATCAGCTGATAGTGACCTATAGTCACACACTTATACCATGATGGAGCCTGAGGCAAGGACAATGCCAACTGGCCAGGACTTGATATGGTAGTACCTTCTCCACTGGGCAAGGATAGCTCTGCTGAGTGTCTAAGGACACTTCCTGGTGGAGAATGAGAGCAGGCAGCTAGCACCCCAAGGGGCATAGCAGCACAAAATACCCAACCCTGGCCTCCCTAGTCTCAGCACCCAGCTACTGGCCTCACCATCATCCTCAGCTCTCAAAACAAAACTCTGACCATGTCAGAGCAACTCCTGCTTAGACTAATAGGAGGTTAATCTGTAAAGACTGAATGGCCAGCCCAAGCCTCTCCCAGAGTCTCCAATATCCTGGTTAGTCCAGCTCCAGCCCTGGGAAAGCATGCTTTCTCCAATCCCAGCCTAAAAGAATCAAGAGTGAGTTGGGGGGGTGAGTGGGAAGGGTCATGACCTAAGGTCAAGTAGGCCTTAGCCCTCAGGAGGCCAGGGTAGCTCCAGACCGTGGGAATATATTCCTACCAGGGCATCAACCCTCCGGGTGCCCTTTTCTCCTACACTGCTTGTCCAAGAGATGGAGAACAGAGCCTGCTCTGGCCTGGAAAGGCTGAACTGAGTTTCTGGCGCCTGGAGAGACAGCTTCGGAGTTACTGTCATTGTCTCCATGTGGCCCAGCTGGACTGTTTCATTTCCTCCTACCCCCTAGAGTTTAAGGGTACATTTGGAATACCTGGGGCCTGGGACCCATTTCCCTCGGTCCTGGTCTCCTGTAGCTAACTATACTAGCTGCCAGAGACCACAGAGTATCAGAAGCTTGGGGAACACAGCTTCACCAGTGGGCCTGTGGTCTCCTGGAGACCTTAACTCAGTATTGACTGTACACTTGTGCTGGGCCTTGTGTTCTGTGTAAGGGTAGATATAGAATCCATTACCTGCCCACTGTCAGACAAAAACAGGTGCAAGAGTGATCACTCACCCCAGTCCCCCAGCTGCTTAGGTTTGAGCCTGATGCTCCCTGGTAAAGGAAGGCTAGTCCAGGCTAGCTTCAGCAGAGTACAGCACCTGCTCCTTTCTCTCCAACCACAATTAGCCAGACTTGCCCAGGCTGACAACATGTGTATGCCAAGCATGGCTCCCAGCAGGACCAGACAAAGGTGGTATGTGCTAGGTGCTGGGGATGCATGGGAACAGGGGTGGTAGCTGCCAGGTTTAGGAGTACAGGGATCTGAGCAAGGGAAAAAAAGGCTCCATGAAGAACCCAGAGAACTGAAGGCTGGCTATCCCAAGCCTCTCCTGCTGGAGGCTGGGACAGCTGATCTCCACTCCCCACCCTACTGCCAGAACCTCAGTCAATAACAGTAACCTCAATTATAATACCAGACTCCAACCCTTTCATAGTTCCTCATCCTGCCTCTCATATTTCCTCATCACCCTTCTGATGCATGGGTGTTATCAGGGGGCCAGGCAGTATGACTCCTCAGTATGTATCCTAACTTTAGAGTCTTCAGGGTGTGGAAAAGACAGGACTCCACAACTGACATGAGCAGGGACCAAGCACAGTTTTGAGAACAATGGCCAGTGGAGAAACTGACTCCCAGGTGTCTCTGAGTGCAGGCCAAACCCTGGGACCTTCCGTGTACATGAAGAACAAGGTAGCAGGGAGACACCAAAGTAGGCAAAACCCTCAGTGTTGTTCAGGTTGTTCAGGAGCTATCTAGAACAGTCCCTACCCAGCTGCCTAGGCTCCAAAGGACTCACTCAGTGGTGGGCACTGACCTGAGGATTAGTCTGTCCTGTCAAATCTCCATTACAGTTTCCAGAATACCCAAATGGGACTTGTAGCCCCCGGGGAACCCATTTTCCTTCCCACCCCTCCCCCTGGAATCCCCAACAGATATTGCAATAGGCCAATGAGTGTCTATTAGGAGCCCCTTGTTTGTTTCCTCACTTGCCATTTTTACCCTCCCCAAGCCACTGGACTATTACCTGTAGAACCAGCTGTTGCCAGGCCATCGGCAGGGGCTGCCCACTGCCCACCACGCCTCCACTGCCCATACCAGGCTGCTGCTGGGCTCGCTCCAGTTGCAGGGCAACATGGCGCCTCTCCTGCTCCAAGGCCCTTGTCAGCCGCTCGAAGCGGGCCTCCTGTTCCTTCACGGAGGCCAAGATGCTGGCAGCTGAATGCACATTGCAGTCCTCCATGACCAGGGTACCAGCCAGCTGTAGGCAAAGCAAAGCAAGCTCAGGGTGGGGCAGAGCAGGAGTCTCGTGAAGCCGTCACAAGCCCTCTGCCTGCTCCACTCACAGATCATACGACTTACTCCCAGACCAGAGCATCCAGTTCTCTGGAGGAAAGCTGCATTGATTAAATTCTAAATTAAAAGCCATTAATCCAAGGCTGGCCGGAAGCAGCCAGCTCCCTCCCTGTTACAGCTCCAGGCTTTGACCTGGGCTCCTCTGCTTCTTGCCAAGCCCAACAAGCTTTGGACTGTGGGCATGTCTGTCTGTTGGGAAGGGCAAGAGCTACTGTGGTGAGCACAATTTTCCAGCATTCTGCTGCCCATAGCACATGCCAGCTGATCTCAATCTCATGGGTCTCACTGGCCTATATCACAGGGGTAGAATTGAAGCCAGAGAGGGTGAGGGACTGCTTACAGTCACACAGCCCCTGTGGCAGAGCCAGTGCAGCCACTGAGCACAGGAATGGAGAAGCTGTTCCCCTGCTGGCAGGTATCTGGGACTCCTAGGTAGGTGAGAGGCCAGGAGCACCAGCCTGTGGACCACAGATCCACCATCCATCCACAGCTACCCCATCCCAGAGTAGGGGTCTGCCATCCCAGAGCAGGAGTTTGCTTCACAGGGGCAAAGTGAAAACCTGCTTAAGGTTCTGGAAGGGACTCCCATGACATCTGGAGACTTTGTGCCTGCAAAAGGCCTGATCCAGAAGAAAACAGAGGACAAGCATGTATGGCCCAGCATTCAGAGAGTCAGGTCTGCCCAGGTCCTGGCACAGTGTTGCCCCCGTGGGCCCCAGAATACCAAGGGAACAGGCAGGATGATGGAAGCTTGGCATCTGCAATGACAAGCCAGCACTTTTCCTTGCAGTTTGCTCCCTGGCTGACCAAAGTGTTTGTTTTTCATGGGCAATAAGAAGCAAGCCAAGTATGCAGAACTCAGACCCAGACTCAGAGCTGCAAACAGGGTGCATCCATGAAGCCGCAGAGCCCAGAGCTTGTTGTATGGCTTGATGCCCAGGGTTGCTTGGAGCCTGCTCCCAGCTGGTCCTATGCCAGTATGCTGAGACTGGCCTGTTGGACCCCTTGTTCCTGCACCAACATAGAGCCTGAGCTTAGTGAGGGAAAGGCCCCATGAAGGAATATCACACCCAGTGGATGACACCCACAGAGAGCCAGTTTTGCTGCTCATTGGCCTGGACAGAGCCAGGAATAGTGGCAGAGACCCTGGAGAAGAAGGCCAAGTGCTGGACTTGGAAACACCAGTGCTGCAGAACCAGGGACATGGTGCATCACAGAGGTGAAGAGATGCCATGAGACTGAGCACCATAACAGCTGGAGAAACTAAGAGCCAGTGAAGGCAAGAGGCCAGAATAGGCCTCCACAGCTTTTCTTCATTTCTCCCACACCTGTCACACAAATAAAACTGTCAATGTGACCTTGCAGGGACAATGGTGTGGGCAGAGGAGCTGTTGTTAAGTCAGCCATAGCCTGAAGAATGAACCAAGTTTCTGTTTGGGAAGGTGACAGCCACCATTGAGAAGAGAGGTTGAGGAATCAGGTACAAACTGGGTCCTCTGGCCACAATGACATACAGGGCCCAGAAGCATAGCAAGGGCACTCAGAATGCCAACACACTAGGCCTTGTGTATGTATGGGTTAAGCCTAGTAGTGGATTCCAGGTAAGTGTGGTGGGGCCTTGCTCCCTGGAGGGTCAGAGTAAATGGCAGCAGCTAAGCCACTTGAGTACTCAGTTGAGTCTTGCATGAAGCACTGGTAGTCTCAACTGAATCTTAGAAGTGAGGGCCAAAGGGGATAGTATACTGCCTTGAAGGAGGGCAATCAGGTCCTGTCAAACAGCCATTGACTCCATGAGCTCTCTTCCCTCCTTGTACAAAGATTTGGGTCCCTGAATGACCCCTGGTTTTATCCCATTGTGCCTCTTCATCCCCATCCATCAGGACCAGGCCACCGCTGGTTAGAACAGCTTCCCATCCCTGAGCCCCCTTCCCCAAGCATGTTGCAGCTATGGAGTACAAGAAGACCTACTATGAAAGGGCCTACGACGTCCAGCTGAAGGCTGGCTGGGGGCCCAGAATTCTGAGGCTGCAGTGAGAAAGTTGCAAATCCCACACTGGCTTTCTACTGCCCAAGTCAGATCATAACAAAATGACCGTGTAGCTCTTGGGTAACCTCTAAAACTGGTCACACTGACTGTGCCCACTAGAGAGCAGAGGCCAGGGTGCTGGGCCCCTGCTCTTTCCCAGGCTGTGTATAACCTCTATCTGCCCTTGGGTGGGGCACTGTACCCCTAGACAGAGCAAGAGAGTCCCCACATGTGCTGGCCTCCTTGGGACTGTACACAGGAGTATGTGTGAACATAAAAGACCCAGGCCAAGCACCCCAAAGAGCAGTTTTCTGGATGGTAACTGAAAATACTGTTTTATATTAAAACAATAAATATGCAATATCATGGAAAGCAAAATACATGAATTTTTAAGATGGACCATGGAGATTTTAAAGACTTTTTTTTCCCAGCTGGGGCTTGGAAAGGACAGTTATTAGATCTTGGGTGGGGGCAAACACCAGGCATAGTTATGCTGGGGACCAGAGAGTGCTTTGGGGACACATTGGAAAATGCAATGCTACAGGGGCTCATCTGAGCCTGCTCCCCTGATGTGGGAAGGTCAGTACTGCCTGCCAGGCAGATCCCACAAGACCTCACCCAGACCACAGACACCAGCTTCAGTTTTCCCTCAGAGGGGGATGCTTCTTACCAAATGTGCCTGATTGATTTAGCAGTAAAAAAGGAGCAACTCCTGGGCACCCCAGAGTGACTACACACCAGAACTATATGACAACACAAATGCCAGAAAACACCAGAAACTTCAGGAAGGTGTTAGGGAGTGAGATTAAACCCTGAAAATGCAACTGCCAAATTAACATGATAGCATAGTTTCAGCACAACAAACACTGGCTATGAATGCCAAGAGTGTCCACACCCCCACACTCTTACAGAAACCTGCTGGGAAGCTGGTGGCACAAGGGGAGAAACCTGGAAGAAAAAGCCATACAAAGGAGAGTGGAGGAAGAGTTAAGTACAGATGGGCAAGTCAGAGGATGAGAAGACATATGGGTGAATACCAGAATGGGATGATGGGGAGATCGTAGCGGGTAGACAGACAGATGGGCAGATAGGGGATGAAGAAACAGATGGGTGAATGGCAGAAGGCTTGATGGGTGGATGGGATAGTAGATGAATGGATGGATGAGTGGGTAGATTAGTGGGTGAGTTTGAGGGAAAAAAAGAAGGAGTCTGGAAGGTGGAGTCGATGGATGGATGAGAGAATAGGTGTGTGCCCAGAAGGACGAAGAGATGGTCATGAGAAAATGATAGGTCAATGGGTGGGTAGAGGGAAGGTGGATTGTTATATGCAAAGGCAGATGGACATATAGCTGGCAGATGGAAAATTAGATGTGGGATGATGGATAGCTGGGGTGGGGAGGAGAGATGGATACATGTGTGTAGGAATTGATGGTGAGTTTGCTGGCAGGTGGGTTAATGCCAAACTTTGCCACACCACTGGAAGGAGGAAGCTTTGTACCCATACCCTCCAGGACTGATATGGTGGAGAGCATTCTCGTGGAGAGCAAAGGAATCATCAGAAGGATTTGGACATAGAAGCTGAATCTTTCCCCTGAAACTCAAACCAACATTTGACGTCTTCCTGCTGACCCAGACATTCCTCCTCAGAAGGAGTCCAGCCAAAGCCCTGCTCTGGAAAATCAAATTATGGGGCTGAGTCCAATCAGGGTACAGGAATTGGAGGAATTTCCTAAGGGATAGGCCAGCAGGGGGAAAGGAAGAAGCCTGTGTTGCAAATCATGAGCCCTTGCCAGCCACCTATCAGCCACCTATCAGAAGGGAACTGATAACATTGAGCCTCCTACTTCTTCCTGTGCACACCCTGAAGACGAAGACGTGACAACAAGAAGTAGCTCAGAACTAGTGCAGTCAAAGCCTGTTTTCTGTCTAGGACATTGTAGGAATTGCCTCTGTTCCCTACCCTCAGCCCTGCCAGCACAAGAGACTTGCTGCCTACAGCTTACATGGGTTGGCCAGGCTTTGTGGGGGGCCCTGTCATTTTCATCACCCCTACTGGGGTAAGCCTCAACTTTGAGCTTCTGGATAAGCTCAAAAGGACAGCACTATGCCCAGGCTGGGACAAGACAGAGAAAGCCAAATTTGCCAAATGCAAATGGGTGACCAAACAGACAAGTGATAAAACCAAAGATAAGATCTCAAACAAGGATTGTGGAAATGTTAATATGCATGCAGATGTGCAGGAAAGACTGAGTCTTGAGGGTTGTAGTAAGGTGGGGTGTCCTGGTGTTGGGACTGCTCTATGGCCCGAGTTCTGCACTAAGGGTACACACTCCTGCATTAGGGGTACACGCTCATGATATAATCAGTCTATAAAGGGACAACAAGTGACTTTTCCACCAGGTGGTCAGAATGAGAGGAAGTCAAGGAATTGCACTGTTTCTCAGGGGCCAGGGTGGTGGCTGCCAGCTGAGAGGGAAGCAGCAGGATTTTGAGGCATCCCAGAAAGAAGTAATCAGATTCAGCCTGAAAATTAGATTTTCCCACAGAAGAAGAAACAAGCCTTGAAGGACCAGACATAGTGGAGGCTGAACAAGGAGAAGGAAAGAGGTACACTCTGAAGTGACCCTCTCTTGCCTCCCAGAGTGCTCACTCAGCAACCCCAATAATCATATAAGGAACGACTCCCATGTGTAGAGGACCCTCTAATAGGGACCCTAGTCCTAGAGCTAGCCAGAACCAAGGCCAGATTGGTCAGCAAAGGGGTTTGTGAGTGGGAGATCCAGGGGGACCTCCTGGGAGGTCCAGGAGGTTAGGGATTGGATCAATGAATGGACACTGCCAGGATCCAGGGCCAGGTTGATTTGGGGATTATACATGGA